AGCCCAGCCCAACCCAGGCCCGCTGACCCCCAAAATTTTTACCGGAAAGAACGTCATGACCCACTTTACACATCTAGGTCTAACTCTTCTGTATCTCCGGGGCTCGGTCCCCAAGCGTTAGTCGCTTGGCAAGACTGTGACGGTGGACCCGGGCCTTTTCCTAAAGCAACTGATCCACACCCATAGGAAGCTGCCGTGGGACCCGCACTGCAAAAAAAGCCCAACACAAYGAGGACTGTATTGTTTTAGGGAAGCATCTAAAAGAGGCCCCTAATTTCCCCAAATTATCCATTTTACCCCTGACTAAACAAAGAAAATCATTTCGCCATTAATGTACACCGTTCGTTTTTATGCAAAACCGATTGATTCTTAACTCATTTTCAAGAAGCAAATAGAATCTGATACACCGAGGCATATTCAGTAATTACTTCGTACAAGAAATCTCCAAACAAAAGATTCAACATCATTCCCCGGAATTCAAATGACCCAAAAGTTGTAATAAAGCCTAAAGCGACAAAATTCCGTCGTCGAAACGGATTTGCAATACCCAAATTGCCCTCATTTCGTTGAAGTAAATGTAGTGCCCCGTACCCCATCTTATCCGGTTTATTTCTGTCCTCCAAAGGAATTCCAAATGTTATCGATAGAAGATGGATTAAAATTTTAAAAGAAAGGGAAAACTTTCTTGGGTTTCTTTTTCCATTGCATGTTTTGGGTTGAACTCAGGCTTATCCGATACATTCCAAGAAGAGAATACGTCCAAATATTCAGTAAAATAGATGCTAAGACAAAAGATTCTCTAGAAATTGTTTGGTGGCAAGAAATTTGTGGACCGATCACTTGTCCTCAACTCTTGGTGACCTAGCACCTACCTGGCTGTTGATTGATGTGAATCCCTGATTGGATTCACTCTGAATCTATCGGTTGTTTTAGGTCACTCCGAGATAAATGTGATTACAATAGACGTTACAAGGCCTAAATATAGTTAAGGATTAAAATATTGATACATCTTTAAATAGGAATTGGTATATATTGATAGGGCAAATATCAATTTATTTTATTTTATAAGTAATAGAAGATTTCATCTATTATTATAAAGTTTTAAAATCGTATATGTATTAATATATTCAAGCATATTTAAGTACATTGTATATACGGTATATTTTAATCTTTGAGAGAAGGGACACCCAGGTTAAAACTTTATATGGTATGAGCTTTTTAAAATTTAATAGAAAATGACAGGGAATTGATGTATGTGGTCTTGATGTATGTTCCTATTTATTAACCAGTTGAAAATATGGCCCTTTAAAATAATTATTGTGAGACTTTGACTGCTTAGGCCCTATGACTCTTTAGTTCTAAAGTAAACATACTATATTGAAACCAAATTTACTAATATTAATTTTATGTAGATACAAACAGACATTATTGTATGAATATCTTACTTGGGTAGATCTATATATTAAATCTAATTATAAACAAAACATATTAAATTTGAATTGCTATTCAGACTCGAAATCAGACAAATGAGTGCAATTGTTGAAGGAATTATTTACTTATTGTCGTCCCATTCACATTACCCCCTGCACGGCTGCACCCATGGACGATGTCCTATGGTCAACCTTATATTAATGTTTTTAAAACTGGCTTGCGTGTTGACCCACACAAAGCCTCCCGGTTCATAATTGGCCTGATTTGACTGTCATATTAGCTCAAAACCATAAATAGATCGCTAATCATAGAATACAGGAAAAATGGCAAAATAATAAAACAAAACCGTTAAACTGTTCAAGCAATTCACCATTCAGCCACCATTTTGACAAAAGTCATTTCTATAAGGAATTATATAAACTTTAAAAACAATTTATAAGGATTAAAGTATTGATATGATATTTACATCGTTGTATCTAGACATATATGAATACATTCGTACAGAGATTTTATTTTTAAATATTGAATACCCTTTAACATCTATAAAATTAAAGAAAAAAAGGAAAAAGCATCAATTAAATCGATATACATTACCAACTGGTTTATTCCAGCATTAATGTGGAATCGAATTAAAGGGATGAAGAGGGAGGTTTATTATTAATAGCACCGAATAAAAAAATAACATTAAATACCCATTTGAAGATGTCAAAATCACTGTTTTTAAAATCGGATCGGATCGGATAGTTGGACTAGAAAACCGGGAATTGATCATTTGATCGGTTCTATTTTCCTCTAAAATTGCTTTTTTTTTCCTAAAATCGTTGATTTTGGTTAGTAAACCGTTGAACTGGCCGGTTAACCGTTTGAATGATTTTGATCGTTTTTCAATTTTTTATTTTTTTTTGTCAGAACAGGCCAACCGTTCAAACCAGTAACCGGACCCCTGACCGGTTCTATCACCGGGTTGTTTTTAAAAACCATGGTCAAAATAATTAGTGAGAAACCACCACTGTCTTAAAAATTTAGGATGGATGATATCTCCTACTACAGCATTTAAAAATAAGGGTTTTTAGCAGAAAATGACAATTTTTTGCCTTGAATATCAATAAAATATAATATTTTTATAAAATAACCAAAGTAGAGTAACTTTTGAAAAATATTAAGAAAGGGCAATGACACTGTTCATTGTCTTCCTCTTCTTCTGCGTCTGTGATTATTTTGAAAAATATCACCGAAGCTTCAAAAGTTTCAGGCCTCTTATCTCTCTTATGAAGGTTCAAAAGTTTCATAAAGATCCAGGAAGCTTCAAGTTCTCAAAAGTCCCACATTGGGTTTGAGGTCATCTCGAGCAGGTCCCCGTCTCTCATGGCGTCGCGTGTTGAAGCTTCATGATTCATAAATATCTCGCGTGCTGAAACTTCCTGATTCAGAAATTGGAAAACTCGAAACTTCCTGGATCTGAAAACCAACTTGCATTCTTTACACCACGTGTGTTGTAAGATCTGTTTTTCCTCTTCAGTCTTCTCCTCTGCAACAACATCGAATCCAGGGAGAAACGAAAAGAGAGAGATAATCTCACACCCCATGTGATGCTCAACTTCAAGAGAATGGTGTCACCGCGATTCCGGAATAGTAACCGTGAAGATGAACGCGCCTGTGCCCTGCTCCGCCTCTCGCATGAACAGTGTATTCGGATAAATAAGAGGCAGAAGAAGAAAATGAACAGTATTACTGTCCTTCTTTATATATATATATATTTTAAGTTACTATATTTTGATTATTTTATAAAAATATTACTTTTTATGGATATTCAAGACAAAAAATTGCTCTTATAAAAACCCTTAAAAAAACAAAAGAAATAACATTTCATGAAAAAAATATTCGTATTGAAACTTGAAAGGTCCTGATCCAATTGAATCCGATTCAATTAACTGGTCTGGCCGGTTTTCAAAACATTGCCTTGGGCGAGTGGTCAGTGAACGCCCATTATTTAATCCATATCCAGCTACGTGGATTAATGCAAGTCCATGATTTCTAGTTTGTCCACCCATAAGACACGTACTTAGGTATAATATTATTTTCCACAATCAAATAATAAAAATTAGAAATGTTCCAACTCTTAAGATCTGTTTGTTTGAACTTTTGAAGATCTACGATTTCTTTTTTATTCATTTTGTACTACGTAGGGTGTCAATTGGATTGGATTTGGTCCAATCCGATCCACTCCAATGTGAGTCTATTATAAACAGATCAGGTCCAATCCAATCCAATGAATGTTTTAGACTAATTTGAACCGGTCAAATTTAATGTCTGGACCATCCAATCTGTTCAAATTCATTTTGGTTTAGATTAGTTTCAACCCAAACCCAATCTATTGACATATATATTCTTATCTTATATTAATGGACCAGATATCGGCTTAATCCAATCCAATCCAATATAAATTTGTTATAGACGGACCAGGTCCAATCCAATCTAATAAATGTTTTGGACCGAATTGGTCTAATTCAATATGCCTTATCGGTTCGTTCAATTCATCCAAATTGATTTTGGATTGGATGTGGTCCAATCCAAAACGGTCCACTGACACGTATATGCACGTGAGTCACGTCTTCAGTTACCTTAATTAAGCAAAACTTAAATGCGTCTAAGCTACCATTAAGCAACAACATCATATCAACTCTTACACGTGGATCAAACGTCTATAATTCATGGAGTCACCACGTGTACGGCTAATGTTAAACCAGATTTAATAATTTAGTCGCATGTAACTAAAGTGTGAATCCTAGGAATTGGTATCTGCGGCTCACATCGCTCCTCACACCGACCTCACGATATATCCTAACCTTACATCGGAAACATCTCTCGTTTTTGTATTATTATTCATGGTATATATTTCCAATATACGGTGGGATGTTGCTTACTGGCTTTGAAATAGGTGTGAGCAGCGTGAAAAGCAGATCCGGACTCCGATCCGAGAACTTGATAGCTGTTTACTGTTTTTGTAGCCGAAAACCATTCATTTTCTCACTTATATTCGTGGCTCCCACAGTTTTAAAAACAGCTATCAAGTTCTAAAGATAATCTTGCACCGCATATTTCATACGTGGCGGGTCTAGTTTTATGATGAGTGATGAGACCCAGTTTCGTGATGAGATGTTCGAAGGTATTTGGTGAGACCGGATCTGCTCCTCGCATCTGGCGTCTCACAGGCGCTTTACACACACACGGTGGATGTGCCTGTGAGGCGCCAATTTATCAGGAGCAGATGCCGCTTGATTGGCAGAGATCGCAAGTCCCAACTCATCAAGTTAAGTTAATGCGATATTGAACTAGCTTAGGTTGGAAAGAGACTGACAGAATTCCAGATCGTTATTTACCGTTTTTACCGGTTGGTAACGGTGGCGCCGGATTTAATGAGTAGGGTTGAAGCTAATGAATTCCATTATTTAATGGAACCGAAAACGGAATAAGCGTGGCAGTACCGAAATATTCGGGTATTAGGAGGGGACTTCCGGTAAAGCACTGGGGTATAAAGGAGTGGGAAATTTCAAGAGGAGTCCAGCGAAGCATACGTTGTTGGACTTGTCGAGACTGTGTTGCCCAAAAGGAGAAAGCGGAGCAAGAAAAACTATTAGACATTTAGACCGTCTAAAGGTGGAAGAAAGAAACTGAAAGAAAGATTAGGAAGAGATACACAGAGAGTGAGTGGGAGCTCAGTGGATTCAGAAGAACTATCTATACGCTTCATCGTTCGGTCTCGAGATTTTGTTGTACGCTTTCTGCTCTGTTTAATCTACCAAAATTTCCTTATTTGTTCAATTACAAGCAATTTCTTAGAGTTTTGTACGATCTATTGGTGTAATTGAACTATTTTGATCTTCGACTCTCAATGGAAGTTTTTACTTTGAAACCTGTGATTAAGCGATGCTTTCAAGGATCAAATTTTATTGCCTTCTTTTCTTTTCTTTTTTTTTTTGTGAAAATGTGAACTCCGACAATGAGAATGATAGATCTCGTGACTGTTGAGTAGGTAATTGTCATTTGTCAAAGTCACCGATATTCTTGAGATTATTTTTGTTTCTTTTTTTACCGATATTACGAGTGTTTCGAATTTAAAGTTAAGCAGAACATTCATGAGTAATTCTTTTCCTATGAATTAGGTAGGAATTTTAAATGTCTGATCTGCAATGCATGGGCAGCTGGACTTCTAGTACGAATCTCATGGTTAATACTACTCTATGTGCATTGCGGATTGGCTTTTGTATCTTTTGCTCTCCTTCTCAAATACGCTTATTTCTAGTGCTCTACAGTTCTTGACAAATTTCAATTGCAAAGGCAATAACTGATAACACACAAACAAACAACATGTTCTGAGATTGCAGTGGACAAGATAAGGTTCAATGTCTACATTATCTCAGGCCATGAGATTTGAGCTATAGTGAAACCCATTACTCATCCCTTGTAATGATGGTCATTTTACCTCAGGATGCATTTATGTATAACTCGCCAGGTGTGATAAATCTCATTTAGTCTCAAGGAGGCAGAATAGGCAAAGATCTGCAATGTTTATCCTGTATTTGTGGTATTGGTGCTTAGTATACTTACATAGGTTGCTCTTAATGTTTTAAAAGCGCAAGGTGCTACTGCACAAGAAAAGCACAAGGTGAGACGCTTTTTTGGAACAGAGTACTGATTTTTGAAAAAACTCCAAGAAAATATAAAATCAGTAATACGTAAAAAATGCAAACCTGAATTTTAAAAGAAATTAAATGTTTTTGAAAAAGCCTATTGACTTTAAATTAAAATAAATAAGCATGACATATAAAACATATTTAAAGTGAAAGCAGATATATATGGACCGCACCAAAGTGTTTCAAGTACTCAACAATTCAAGCATGTGAAACTTTCAATTTGGTTATTTATTTCCTAGTTGCATTACTTCAAGCAACTAGTGTGATGCTAAACATCTTGCATTCCTGATCCTAGGATGTTGGCTCACCGCTTCTATTATAAAGGCCCCTTTCTCAAGCAATTTTATGCAGGGGCTTGGGGGCAGCATCCCTGACCTAAATTTTTGTCCTGTATATATAGAAGGGTTGATTTTGTGAATTTAGTTGCAGTTCTATTATAGGATTAGGGAATCAGATATTAGTTATATTATTGCTGCTTTTTTGTAGAAATTTTGCTATTGAGATCCTGTTAGCAAGAACTAAGGCTCTAGGTCTTTGAAAGGTCTTTATTTTTGTTTATTTTAAAATTTAATAGACCACTGTTAGTGTATAAACAACAATAAAAAGTTATCTAGAAGTTGATAACTCATTGCAAAGTTATAAAACATAAAGGAATCTAAAAACTAACAAAGAAGGCATATTTAACAAGGCATATGCACTTGGGTTGGGGCGTAAGATGCACCAAGCATGTGCCTTTTGAAAGGGGCTGCACCTAGGTTCAAGTGAGGCACATATCTTAAAATATGCCTCACCTGTGTGCCTAGGGGGGCAGGTGTGCCTTTTAAAATACTGGTCCAACTTATATACAATAATCACAAGATGACTTTCTGCTGAAGTTGGGTCCATGGGTGAGTTCTAAAATAATCATTTGATTGACTAGATAGATGGAATTATTGTCCAAATTCTTTTTTGGTATAATTAAGATATTTTTTTGAAATCTTAAGGTAAAAAAAAAAGACTAAATCACCCTGAATATATAATTTAGAGGTTCACTAACTATACAAGTGGTGTTGTCTCATTATTTTCCATGAATTATTGCTGAAAGGGGCTGAAACTTGCATGGGTTATTCAATAATTTTTTTGGGTTCCTCTAAGAGGATTAGTCCTTGAAGTGTCAAAGCAGATTGTTAACCTTTGAACTTCCAAGTTGGAAATGTTTCAGAACTAATGGAAATGAAACATGGGAAAGGAGAATATACAAAATATAGTACACAATCTAACATCTTTTTATGCATGCATGTTATAGACTAAATGTCTAAGCATACCCACCATAAACAAAATGGAAGAACTGGAACAGAATAGGATGCATGGCTCTATGATATCCATGAAATTTTGGTCTTCCATGCTACACGAATTCCAAGATATGAGAAGCAATGGACTTTCAATTTAGTTTGTAAGAGATATTGAACATCTGATCACTGTAGACAGATTGCTTGTTGAGAATAGCTGATTTTAGCTTATGAATTTTCCCTCCTATCTAACAGTGAAATTCTTTTGCTATTATTTAAAAAGGGTCATTTGATTTTAGAGTATAAGCCTTAATTATTTAATTTTTATATTTGTCTTTTTTTCATTAGTGTGGTACTCATTAGTCCATAAAAAGTTTCTTGTATATGAGATTTGTAGTTTCAAAGTTTCATTAAAAAATTGGATTTATCTGTTTTTTCCCGTCCAAGTGGTAAGGCCAAGCCTATTGGCCCAATTGTTTCCTACTTTTTTTCGTCTAAATTTCTATGTTTTTTTTTTCTTTTTGTACTTGAATGGGCTATGTTCATGTTATGGGTTTGAAAATAGTTTGTACTTGATACTATCTTTAGAGTATAAGCCTTAATTATTTAATTTTTATATTTGTCTTTTTTTCATTAGTGTGGTACTCATTAGTCTATAAAAGGTTTCTTGTATATGAGATTTGTAGTTTCAAAGTTTCATTAAAAAATTGGATTTATCTGTTTTTTCCTGTCCAAGTGGTAAGGCCAAGCTTATTGGTCCAATTGTTTCCTGCTTTTTTTCGTCTAAATTTCTATGTTTATTTTTTCTTTTTGTACTTGAATGGGCTATGTTCATGTTATGGGTTTGAAAATAGTTTGTACTTGATANTTTTTTTCGTCTAAATTTCTATGTTTATTTTTTCTTTTTGTACTTGAATGGGCTATGTTCATGTTATGGGTTTGAAAATAGTTTGTACTTGATACCATCTTTAGTTTTGACATTGTTATCATCTGATTAGTGTTTGTTCCATTTTGTAGGCTGTGGTCAGTACTTGCATCCTTGGTTATGCTATTGTTGCAACTGCAAATTTTAATTTTTTTCACTGGATGTCTTAATTGAAGGATACATGCTGCTACAAATGGTACAAGGGGATTGTAGCCTTAACAACTTCACTGTCATTCTCAGATCTGTCGGGGCCTTCTGTGGAGATTGGTTTAAAATTACTCCCCTGCATCAATGTAGATGTTAAGTAGTGCAACTGTTCTGAGTCTGAATGGAGACCAATGTTTATATGTTGTTTTGTATGCGTGCAAGTGAAATAGTTAGACTTCTGGTACTTTTGGTGTTCTTCTGAACGGTAATGCATCCAGTGCTGAACCATGGGTACTTCTGTTTCTACATTCTGTCAGGTCTTCTTCTCATCTCCATGCTTTTCCTCAGTTCAGGGCATTATATGAGTGAAGGAATTGAAGTAGAAACATTGTTGCATGATTATTTTGAATCATTTCTAAGCAATGAATATGAGAGAAGATCCTTTCACTATATGAAGCTGTCAACATCTCTTTCTCCATTGAATAATTCAGTGTCTTGTGAGGATTTGAAAGGCGTTGGATCGTTGAACACGACCTGCCTGCTAAGTTCAAATCTGTATCTTGACAATGATCTTCATGTAATTGGAACGGGAAACCTAGAGATCCTCCCTCATGTTTCTATTATCTGTCCTATTGAAGGCTGTTTGATTAGTTTCAACATATCTGGAAATGTTAAAGTGGGCCAATATGCTGCTCTTATTGCCGGCTCTGTAATTGTTTATGCCACAAATCTGACTCTGGATTACCATTCAACTATTAACACAACGTCCTTGGGAGGGTCACCACCTTCTCAAACTAGTGGTACACCAATTGGCTATGATGGAGCTGGTGGAGGGCATGGAGGTCGAGGTGCTTCCTGTCTGAAAAATAACAGGACAAATCTTTGGGGTGGGGATGTTTATGCTTGGTCTACTTTGTCTCATCCATGGAGTTATGGAAGTAAGGGGGGCAGCACATCTGCTGAAAAAAAATTTGGAGGGAATGGGGGAGGCCGAGTCATGCTTAAAGTGAAGGATGTATTATATGTGAATGGATCTGTTACAGCTGATGGAGGTGAAGGGGGGCTTAAAGGGGGAGGTGGGTCAGGTGGAAGTATCATTATACAGGCTCTGAAGTTGTAAGTGTACTGCCATTTTTTCTAAGATCCTTGTCATGCTTGTACTTCTTGGTATCTACCTATCTATTTATTTACACTCAAAGTCTTTCTTTTTTTTGTCTTTTTATATGTATGGTATTTTTTTATTGGAAACGATTACTTTCATTAAGGAAATTAAAGAAATACAACTGTCAACCACCCAGAACTAGGTGTTGACCCCATGATAAACAAATAACAACACAGCCCAGAACAAATTCTCCCTAAAAACCCCTTGTTAGTTGGAACTACATCCACTGGCCATGGGTATATTTGTAATTTTATATGTATGGTATGAGCATAGGTATATTTGTAATTTTATATGTATGGTATGAGCATAGGTATATTTGTAATTTTTTGTGTTTATTTTCAGAACTACAGATATTAGGGAAAGTTGGAGTATGTGTGTGTTGAAGGTGGGATTCGATCTGAGGTTAGTTGGAACTATATCTGCTGACTTTACCAGATGAGACAGCTAGCACCTTCCCCTTTATATCCCTCCACATACACACAAAATAAAAGCTTGCCATCTGGAGGCTAAAGAACACTGGAACATGAAACATGTCAATAATGCAGATGCTAAATTATGGGCAAAACATTCTTGGTTTTATGTATGGGATTGCAGCATGCAAGTTGTTGCAAACTATAATATCTTAGACTTGACGATTATCCAAGGTTCAAAATATTGATATGCCCTGATATGGTGGAAGGGGTGTATCAATACTTTTAACCTTTTGCTTTTTATTTTTTATTTTTCTCAAAATTTCAAAAATGGTTTTTTTTTAATGTTATTCAACTATTAGAAAAAGCTTTCTTAAAATCTACTAAAATCAGCATATCGGTCATGAAAATATACGATATGATATGCCTGATTCGGCATATATTGTATCGAAAATTTGAACTTTGAGACTATCATACGTCATTTTATGAAGCTGCCAAGGATATGGAAGTAGATTTTACTTCTTTTTGGGGATGTAGAAATTCATAAAGTTGTTATAACATTACATGTAAAGACGAATAATCAGAATTTGTAAAACTCTTGATAGTAGTTGACATCTTGATGGAAATCAAACTACCAGCACTGGTAGGGAACTAGGGATAGGAAGAAAAGGAAATAGAAGAAAAATAAGATAAAAAACTTACAAGAAAATGATGGGACTTTGACTCATAGAGTTTGTCTTGATTTTTGCTTTATAACCTATCATAACTTCGTCAGTTGTGTGAGTTAAATCTCATCAAGTGGTGTTAGGTTCAGCAGGTAAGGAGAAGAAGAAGAAGAATGGCCTATTATTACTTCCAATTACAACAATTGCCCCTCTTTGCAAAGCTCACATAATAAAATATAAAAATATTAAAATAACAGCTTCCTAAAACTCTACAAACTCTTAAAACAAATTCTATAAACTACCACGGGACATCCCACACTAACTGTTTTTTTGGTACTAAATAAAAAAGAAAATTTTATTAATCAAATAAAAGATTACATCCAAAGCCAATGATGAGGAATCACCTCAAGACAAAAGAAACAAAAGAAAAAGTACAAGATTTTGATCTCCCAAGATCAAGATCTAAAACAGACCAAAATTACCAATTTAATGCCCTAATATACCCTTACAATGGTTTTATAAAGAACAAACAGAAAACTTGTCCTCTTTTTACCAGAATGACACAGGAATTAGAATCCGACATGTGTCCAGGAGTCTGACTCAGCAAGATGAAGAAACAATTACTCATGAATAATTGGTTATGTCTATTAGAAAAGTATGGACTATTAAAATAGTCCATATTTTATTTTGAATTTTAACATTATAAACCCTATAGAAAAAGGTATTAAAGATTATCTTTGTTACTCGATAACATTTAATAAGAAATATGATATTTATTATGTATGCTAACTGTTCATTTATGTTGAATAAGCAAGGAGAATAAAGAAACATGTCAAATAGGAGTTCCCTTCTGGAATTCATGGAGTGTCAGAGTTTGATGCATATATGGAACAAACATTTCATCCACTTGGGAGAGTGCATGCAACACTGTTTTTACCTAATTGAAGACTTAACTAAACGTCACTTATTCCTCAACCAAAACTGATGAAACTGGAACCAATAATACTATACCCTTGGGAAATTCAACCTGTGTGGCCCACTGATCAAACAGTCGACTTTAACCATTGACCAAAACCTGCAGTCTTCAAAAAAGCAGCTCCAAAGGTATGTCCAGAAAACGTACTTGTGCTCATTTGATTTGGCTGAAACTTGGTGAATATTTAGTAAATCAAGAGTTCTAACCTGTGAAAAAATCCACCAAAACCTTACTGCTTGGGACTATTAGGCTGGACTGTAGGAAAGACTCCTGTGCAACTTCAGCCACTCTTCTCAACCTTTTCCCCTGGGATTTAATTGAGACAGGACTAAACCCACCTGCAACATATACCTTTGTCTTTAGGGAGTTTTTTTACCAATATTTTCATGACTTCTTTTAAGATTCAGATTTTTTGTTTTTGGTTCTAAAAATGTTTCTGTATGCATATTTACTTTCGATAGATGTCTAGATTACTAATGGCTTGAATTAGAACATTATTTTTCATATTTTGTGGTGGTGGTCAATTAATTTCCAATCTATCATTTCTTGAAAAATAATGTTAGAAATTCAACTTGTTGAACTGAAAAGCTATTATTCATACACACAACATTTAAGTAACAAGTGTGACTACCATAGGACTATAACAGGAATGTCATAAAATTTGATTTCCCATTACCTGATTCATGCAACTATGGAGTGATGAGAAGTTTTGTAATCTGACATTAAGAGGAGAGAAACTTAGCTGCTTGTTTATGGATATCTTTTTCTTTTTAACTTTAAATGTCCATGTTGTTCCTCTCATCTTTCATTATCCAACCTTTAGTATTGTGTTCTAGTTTGCCATTTCCTTTATATTACTAATAATGTAAGAACACTTTGATTTTCCAAAGAACTTCTGATTCACTTGGTTCACTATTTGCCTTGCTTTAATTTGTGCATTGTGTTAAATTGGTCAGGAAAGGAACTGGTACTATTAGTGCAGCAGGTGGTAGAGGATGGGGTGGAGGTGGAGGTGGAAGAATATCTCTGGACTGCTACAGCATACAAGATGTAAAGATCACTGTGCATGGTTTGTATTGACTACAGAAATGCCATTTACATACACACGTATATTTCTGGTTACCTATCATAAAAGGGTAAATTACAGGCAGCCACCCTGTACTTAGGGTCTAGTTACACTTAGCCCCCAAGCTTTGTTTTGTGACAAAGACCTATCTATTCTTCTGGATTCCAGCACTTTGCCCCCATTCCATCAGTTAACTTCACAGAAGATTCCCATGTGGCTGAAATGTGCTTGTTTAAATATTTATAAAACCCCAAACTACCTGTGTTATTTTATGAGACTATTTTGCCTTGTTATCTAAGTTTTTTTTTTTAATAAAATCCTATCTCTTACTTGTTTCTCCCATCTTTCTCTCAGCAGAATTCACCTTGAGAATGATTAGCTCTGTTTCTTCTTTGATGAGGGTTTGGAAGCACAGCAACCCAGTCCAAAAGTGATACTGTGCTTTAGCATGCCCATTTTTGTCATTTTGATAGCTTTTACTCTTAGCCCATTGAATCTCGATTTGGAAATTTAGTAGCTTTACCTTCACTGTGAACCCCATTAATGGAGTAAGGGGAAATTTGGGGGGAGGAGGGTCTTTGTTGCAAAACAAAGTTCAGGGGGCTAAGTGTCACCACCCCCTAAGTGCAGAGTGGCAGTTGTAATTTCCCCCCAAAAAAGGAAAAATAGTTGGTGGTATAAAGAGCATTTTCTTTGCAAAAGGCTTCTATTTCTGCCATTCTTATCTAAGTAGTTCTTTACAGAACCTTGTGGTTTCCCCGAAAAGTTACATATTAGAACTTGATAACTGATCTATTGATTTACTTAATTAGATCTATTTGTATCTTTATCTCTGATAGTCTGATTTTGTAAATTTGTGGTTTTTTGGGTATTTGTTTTGTACTTCTTTGCTTTGAACTTGTTGGGTTGGATCTCCTCTGTTTGAGAACTTTTGTATTGTATTATGTCCTTATTTTCATTCTTATTATAAAATTTTCAATTATCAATTAAAAACAATAACACATTCTGTTGTAAAATTGTTATCCCTTGACTGATAAAAACATAAAAAGTATATTAAGACAGAGGTTTTTATCCTTCTCTATTTGGCTTGTTCTTGATCTTTCTTTAGGAGATAACAGACATCTAGCTGCGGCTAAGCTTTCTGTCTTTTGGGGTTAGAGGTAAAACTTTTAGGGAGTTTCTCCTTTATTCCCTTTGGTGGATTCTATTTGGATGAAGAAGGAATTTCCATTTTTTATCCATAACATATGATCAAAACTCAAATGTAGTACAGTTATTTTCTTTCACTGGGTTCCTAGAGTTTGATGCCTTAGCAGAACAACTGGCTAGAGGAGGGGTTTGTTGGGGATAATTGTATTGGGGTTTAAACCCCTAGGTAAAATCTGGGTTTTTGGGACTGGTTGTGTGCACTTATAAGGGAAAGTAGCATGAGGTCTAGCTCTTAGTTTCTTCTTTTATTTTCTACATTTGGGATGATTAAAAGTCTTTCTTTTGTTTCTGTGTTTTCTTCATCTTATATTTTCTTACAAGATTCTGACAGTCCACTTGATGTATGGAACTGTTTGAGATTAGATGCAAACCAGAAAATAAACAAACAAGAGAGGAAGAGAAGAGAGAGCTGGCGGCAATGAGTGTTAGAGAGTAAGAGGTTCGAACATAACCTCCCTCTAACACTCTAAACATCTTATTAAGAAGTTAATCTTTGACAAATTACAGAGAGGCCCTTGAGTGGGCAGGAAAATACAAAAAACAGAACATTACAGAGTATGGGCCCAGAATAAGGCCCATAACAGAGAGAAACATAACATAACATAACATGAAATGACAGTCTATGGGCCATTCGGCCCATCTCCTCTACAGGACATATAAATGAATAGTTGATTTAATTCAAGTAGTTGGGCAGTGTTTTAAAATTTTAAGGCATGCACCTTGCTTCAACCCAGGTGCAGCCCTTTTCAAAAGGTGTGTGCCTGGTGTGCTTGGTGCTTCTTGCACCTTGGCTAGGTTCACTCTTTTTATGAGTTTGCTTGTTTGGTTATTTTATACATTCTTCTATGTTTTACACCTTTGTAATGGTCTATTAACTTCTAAATTGCCTTTTATGTGTTTCATACCTCCCTTGCAATGGCTGATTTGGCCTTGCCACAAGGGGCCTTAAAGAGATCAGTGTGAAGGCCCCAAACTCCTAGGATTAGGAATGGCCGAATGAAAGACATCTAACATTATACTAGCTACTTGAATTAATGCAACTAGAAGATTGACAAACAAGTTAATGGTTTCACACGCTTGAATTGTTGAGTGCTTGAGGTACTTTATTATGGTCAGCATTTGTTTGCTTTCACTTTCACTTGAGATTGTTTTATATGTTATGCTTACATATTTTGGTTTGAGTTAATAAACTTTTTGAAACATTTAATTTCTTTTAAAATTCAAGTTTCCTTTGTTATGGTCAGCATTTGTTAATAACATTATTCTGCTTTCTTTCATCCAAGTGTGTGCCTTGCCTTGCACCTTGTATGCTAGTTCTAGAAGGCCCTCGTGATTTTCTTGAGCCTCTTGCTTTTAAAGCACTGGTGTTGGGGTTTAATATTTTTTTATTTGTTTGTAGTATATATATTATATATATTGTATACATACATACATACACACACACACACACTCATCAAAAAATTCTGTTGTTTCTACCTATTTCCTAAAATTTTCATGTGTTTCCTAATTGTATTTCTTGTATTCCAGGCATTGATCCCATTGGCAAGTTCTAATGTTTTAATGGTTGAAGATTGGTAGTAGTACTATGCCAATGAGTTCCTAATTATGTCCGTGGGTTCATGCCAACACCATCTGACTTCTGTTTCATATGTTTTTATCTATCTTATATGAGACTAATATTTCCATGTGGTTTGCATCTGCAACTATTTTGCCTTTAACTGGATGTCTCTTTTGATTTGTGAGAAACATATTTAATTCATATGCATCTAATATCAGGTATACTTTTACTAGGCCATGCTATTTAGAATAAAGTTTTATCTCCAGATATTTTTCTTTTATAAATAAAAGTTTCTGTTGTTTTGATTTAGAGTGTGTATATTTTATGTTTACTCAGGTGGTGAGAGTATTGGCTGTCCTGGGAATGCTGGTGCAGCAGGCACTTCCTTTGATGCGACTTTATTGAGTTTAAGGGTTGGCAATGACAATGTCACAACACAAACAGAAACTCCTTTGCTGGATTTCCCTACAAGTCCACTATGGTCAAATGTTTATGTTGAGAATAATGCAAAAGTTTTGGTTCCTCTTCTTTGGACCAGAGTTCAGGTCATCAGTCTCTAGTCCCTTATGTTATTTCTTAATCTATCACATGATTTTATTAATGTGCTTGCTCTCTTATAAATTGTCTAGACAGTGGTGCACAATTAGATGTTGTCTCATGGGATGATGGATATGGCACTGCACAGAACAGAATGGTGAAACAGGATTCATGTAGCCGACCCCATATAGTTGGGACAAGGTTTAGATAATGATGATGACTTTTGATCAGTGACAATGAATTTCATTGATCACCAAAAGGCAAGACCTGCAACAGGCTGAGCTACAACCAGTCCGAAAAAAAAAAATAAAGCAGTTAATCCGTAACCTTAAGGGTTAAGGCTACTCCTGGAGCTTATTTTTATTATGTCATCATACTGATCATTTGTTTGGTGTTTCAGTATTGACCATAGAACTTAGTGAGTGCAGGATTGTTCATTTTTCTTTTACCCTTGGTATACCCCGTTTGCAGTTTCTGTTTTATTTTATTTTTTTAAAATTTTTATTTATTATTAAATCATATCTTAGTAGTTGAGTGTTTCCTAAACATATACCGAAGGAGGTAAGGCGGTGTATGTTTTTTGCTGATAAAATAGTAGTAATTGATGAAACTAGAGAAGAATCCAAAGCAAAATTGGATATATGGACAAATGCCTTATAAATAAGAGGTTTTAAAACAAGTGGGACTAAAACAGAATATATGCAATGTAAATTTAATAATAATAGGAGAAAAAATAAGGTACAATTAGGATTGGAGATCAAGAGATATTTCAATGTGATCTTTTTACATTACCTTGATTTGATAATTCWTAAGAAAGGAGAGATTGAAGTGGATGCCGCCCATAGAATTAGAGTGAGATGGGCGAAATGTAGGGGTGCTGGGTGCATCTGGAATTCTATTTGATTGGAGATGACATTGGAGAGTGGATCAATGGTAGTAATTGAACTTTGAACATGGGAGATATAGGTTCAAATCTTACTAACTGAATATCCTATGTCATAGGAGAATGCCACTTAGGCAAAAGGAAGATTTTATAAAATGGTAATAAGGCCAATAATGTTGTATGCAGTGTTTTAAAAGCGCAAGGTGCAAAAAAGGCGCAGGGGTCAATTTGTGCCTGAGGTGCAAGGTGCAAGGTGCAAGGCGAGGCGCGTGTCTTTTTGAAGCAAGGCGCAAAAATACAAAAAGATCGCTAAGAAATAAAAAAATGTCAGAAAATTCAAAAAAATGCCAAAAAATATTAAACATAACATTACTAAAAAATATAAAGTTAAAATTTAAAATAATGTTTTAAAAAATCTATTATATAAAATTAATATACATAAACATAAGATGTAAAGCTTATTCAAATGAGAATTTAAAAATAAAATCAAACATATAAAACATTTTCAAGCATGTAAAACCTCTAATCTCTTTTTTCACTCAAYWGSMDYACTTCAMRTRRCTAATGTAATGTAAAACATATTACATTCCTGATTCTACGAGCTGCCTTTGTGCCATGCCCCTTGAGGCAATTAAAAAGCAATGTTGTTCATTCATTCATCCTAATAAAATGTCTTCTTAAAAAGCAATTAAAACTATAAAATCATTATTTTTTCCGTGAAAACTAAGAATTTAAGACCTAACAAGGACTTATTTGGGCTTGCCTCGAGGGGCGTGGCATGGGGGTCCGGGGGCGGAGCCCCTGGCCCAGCCGTTATGTTAAAAAAAATCAAAAAAGCGCCAAATTTTCAAAAGGTGCACGCCTGGGCTGAGGCACAAGGCGCATCAGGCGCACGCCTAGGCGCACCAGGCGTGTGCCTTTTGAAAGGGCTGCACCTAGGACTTAGGCGAGGCGCATTTCAGGTATGCGCCTCGCCTGTGCGCCTAGGCACGCCTTTAAATCACTGGTTGTATGAACTGAGTTTGGGCTAAGAAAAAATAACATGTCCAAAAAATGAGTGGGAAAACTAGAAAAGATAAGATCAGAAATGAACTTATTTGAAGGAACCTAGGAGTAGCTCTGATAGGTGATAAAATGAGGGAAAGTAGTCTAAGATAGTTGGGTCACATTAAGAGAAGATCATCTACAGTATCAGTGAGAAGAAGTGATTTATTACAAGTTGAAGGGTTTAGAAGAACTAGGGGCAGACCAAAAAGGACATGGGTTGAAGTAGCAAGTATTGAGTGATCTTGGGCTGTAGGGACATTGTGGGCCTTTAATTTATTTTATTTTTTGTTATTAGTTATTGGGCTGATTGTATATGGGTCCACTTGGGCCATTTTTGTTCTTTTTTATTGCTGTTATCTACTAGGGGCAGATTGTTCAGTGTACTTATTTTTATGATCAGTTCGATAATAAGGGAGTGGGGACTGCTAGACAGCCCACAATCGGATTTTCCCTCTCAACCTATTCTTTTCTTTTCTCCTCTTCCTCTCCTGTGCTCTGTACCTTTTTCTTCTTACATTTGTGCATCAATCTCTGATGATTTGAAGGATTATTACTGGTCTGAATCAAATCGGTAAGAAAGAATTTAAGGGCCCATAACTTAACAATGGATATGACAGTGGACAGAGCAGAATGGAGGTACAGGATTCATGTAGCTAACCCCTATATAGTTGGGACAAGACTTAGTTGAATGTTTCCTGGCTTAAAGGCCTTATGTGTCTTTCTTGACAAATTTCAGCACACAAATTTTGTGGGAAGTAACATGAAAAAGGTGTTGAGTTAGTTTTCAGATCATGTTTTTGCTTTTCTCCATGGTATACCCCTTCCTATCTAACCAACCATTTGTTAGTAGTTGAGTATTGCTTGGGTCAAAGGCTTTATGTCTTCCCCTTTTCTGTCATAGTTCACTGCCCCAAACATTTCTGGAAGCAATATGAAAAAGGTGTAATTTTTCTTCCTCTTCCTTAGATATTTACAATCGTCCTGGTTCAAGGTTCTTCTATGTATTCTGTATAAATCAGAAATAAAGAAGAAAAAAGAAGGAAAAGAAGAGAGAGAGAAGAAGAATGTGGAATAGAGAAAAAGAGAAGAAAAACCAGTCCAATCACAGGTTGAGAGAACTAATTTTGAATTAGGGCTGGTGTTCCCCTCTAATGATAATCAATATATAAACACGAGTTACAAAAATACTAAATTACCCTCATAAGGAATTAAATGTTAAGGACCCAGATATCCTTACCCCTAACATTTGTTTCTCTCTGTTAGAGTTAGCCGAATAAGGGTAGATTAGTCAACTCACCTTGGTTAAGTTATGAGCTYATGTGGCAGTCTTATTAGAGGTTCTCTGTCCCATACTTAAGTAGGGGCAGTTTAGTCCTTGTACATTTAATTAGAAGCCTAATATCACTATTAAGAGGTCGACTGATAGGGTTTAGCTATCTGGTTCGACAGTTCTTTCATCTTCTTCTTCTTCTCTTCATCTTCTTCTTCTCTTCATCTTCTTCTTCTCCTTCTCTTTTTTCTTCTCCTTACTGGTTCGGACTACTGTAGCAACAGTAGAAACACTCTCCAAATACCCTCATTCTCTCTACAATCTCTACATTCTGTTAAGTTTCTCCCAACAAGTTTGTTTTTTTTTTTTTTTTTTTTTGGATCAGTTTCTTCCAACAAGTTTCAGTATACAAATTCATTTCTGGTTCTCACAAATAAGACTTTATGCAACACCTGAAGTTTCTTTTAGGTTTTATGTGCTATTTAATTTATTGGTTTTTCTTAGTGGGCTAAGTGATATTAATCCTTCAAAACGGTTAAGGCCACTTTAAGTGGGTCAACAAATCAGCAAAGGCTTTGGCTAATGCCTTTATCCAAGCAAGGGGTGTCAAGGGAGAAATATTTATTGGGTTAATTTGTACTCATAAGATGATTGTGGGGTTTGGCTCCAGTTTAGATCTGTGCACTGCTAATTAAATTTTCTCAATTAATACAAGCTATCTATTACCAATCAAAAAAGGTTATATTTTATTATTTACTATTTATTATTAGACTTGGGAGGGCCCAGATTTGTTTCATATCTCTTCTTTAGATAACTAGTCATATTTTAGATGCCACCATGTTTTGTATAAAGAGGAATTTTTCTTAAGATTAAACAAGGAGGTCCAGATTTATTGTCATTATGCAATGTAGAAATGGTATTGTAATGTTCTTTGCATGGTTGTTATTAAAAAGATAATACATAAATCCTCTCATTTTAAGCATCCTTTTATATGCTTCAGAATCTTTGCAGCTTCACTCCACTTGTTGTAACTGGTAATATAAATAAGCGATTCTAGGTCCTAGAGGCCGAAGAACTGGATTCATTTCTCCATATGCTGTAAGCTCTTGTACTCCATCTTGATGAGTAACTTTATTATTATTGAATTCAATTCTTTTTATCTAAAGGTGAGAGGCCAAATCAGTGTTCTCTGTGGGGGTAGCATCAGCTTTGGATTGTCTGACTATCCAGTGTCAGAATTTGAGCTTGTAGCAGAAGAACTTCTAATGAGTGATTCCATCATCAAGGTATCCAACCTTCTTTATTGTGTTCTATTTTTCTTAATTGTTCGATAACTTAAATGTTTATTGTTTGGTGTTTATATAAAAGTTTTCTATATGGTCTATTTCTATTATTAATTATTGCATTTTGTGCCGTCATATAAGATGCAAAGATCCTTGTTTGAATTGAAGTCATTTGTTTTATTGACCACTCCTCTTGAGATCTTTTAATCAATCCATCCAACTTAATATGATTAATTCACAATAAATGCTTCTATTTTTTTAGAATTAGTGACAAGATCAAGCAATTTTAGTCCGCCTTTAATTTGTTAAAGAAGTCATCCATAAATTCTACATCAGTTATATTCCTTTTTTTTTTTGATAATTGAAATAATTTTATTAATCAGCAATAGACAATAGTACAAAGTCCCCAAGGAAAGGCACGAGTTGCAACCCCTCCGGGCTAGTTAAGTACAAATTTCCAAATTAATAACAACTTGCATAGAAGCACAAAAAAGATCTTCCCTAGAAA